AGAAGAAGAATCCTTGTTTGCCCACTGAGCGATTTGCCCACAACCACCTTAAGACGGCCGACTGAATTTCAAACTCGTTTGATTTTCTCTTGACTTTAAGATTCCTAATGGGGGGGGGGTCGTTAGAGGCTGATCGCCCCTCGTTACCCCCTGTTCACTACACGCATCATCAGGATGAAAGTCGGCCTGATTGAAAAAGTCTCGCACGACTGTAGAATCGGCCGAAAAAGGGCAAAAAAATCGTCCAGTGTTCGTCCGGCTTCGGCCGTTGGTAGGTGGGGGCCAATAATAGAAATGGTTATGTGGTAACCTAATGGTTTCACCCACCTAAAGTCTCCGTTGTTACATAGTTACTTTGAAACGATGTTACTTTATTTTGGGGTAATTTTCTTGTTAACTAGTAATATAATGTGACTTGCTATGTTATAACATGATTATTGACCCCTCACCCCCCCAACATGGACTGATCAGATTCTTCCCCACCGCCATTAGACTGCTAAAAGTTATGTAAAATGGGTTATATAAAAACAACTGAGAGTTAGAACTGTAACTATAAAGTCATATGTTTACATCCCTGTTTTTAGGGTTAGGGTTCCTGCTTCCCTTATCAAGGCTGCACTTTAAAAAATGAAATAGTCTAGAGAACTGTTCCTGTGTTGTGTAAAAAATGACAAAATCTGTCTGAGTCTATTGATGTGCTGTAAAAGAAAGCGTTACTTTTAAAGTTTTCAGTCATAAAGATCAATTTTTTTAATAAAAAGATGTTTGGTTTGTAAGTGAAAACCTCTTCCTGTTCCTTTCTGCCACTAACCGATTCTCTTCTTTCTGCTTCCTGTTTTGCAGCGTTTCCACCTCTCCTCCCAGGGGCAGCCCTCTGATCACAGGCCTGGCATCTTTCATCCATTCATCCCTCTTTCATTCAGTCATATTTTTGCCCCGTCATGAAAGGCCTGTCCAGTAGTCGGAGTCACCATCACGTGGTCTCCTATGAGCCATCGTACGATCCACTGGGTCACCATGTTGACCGTAAGCCATATTTGTTCAGCCAGATGGATATGCCTTTGCCAATTCCCATGCCACATCCATCTGAGTTGCCCTATTACAATGCTCAACGCGTCTCCTACCCCTCTGAAAGCAACAGCATTGTCCCATATGGAACCTTCCCCAGGAGGTGCCACTCCACCTCCTCAGCTCACCATCCTGAGGTAAAGGATGAGTGTATGGCCATGGTGCCGTACGCAGGGGGGGGAGGAAGAGGAGGAGGAGGGGGAGGAGGCTACGGGGCTAAATCCCAGTCTTGGGTGCCAGTAAATTTTGCGGACCCCTATGAGCAACAGCCCATATTTTCCAGAGATGGCTACCACACACTGCAGTACAAACGAGGAGTGTTGTCCCACAGCGGGGGGATGGGAGCCAATGACGGCAACAATGACAGTCCTGGACGAATTCGCCACCTGGTCCACTCGGTCCAGAAACTCTTTACCAAGTCGCATTCATTGGAGGGGCCACAGCACACGCAGTCATCCAAAGGGCCCAATAACGGGAGCGTTTATGGTGGTGGCGGTGGTGGAGGAGGTAGCGGTGGTGGTGGTTCAAGGGCTAGCCCAGAGGGTGCGGCTCCCCCAGGGGGGACGCGCCACCGGAAGCGCAGCAAGAGCCGGGAGCGCTGTCGATCAGCAGAGCCTAAGCATCGGAGCTACCACCACCACCACCACCCGCAGCTTCATGGCTCAGCATCTGCTCCAGGCTCCGGATACTGGAGCTCAGATGACAACCTGGAACGGGAGCTGTGTCTTTACCACCCTCATCACCACCAACCTCCACCTTCACCCTCCCTCTCCGTTTCCCCCTCGCCCGTTGCCATGACAACGGGACAGTGCCATGGCAACAACCCCGATAAGTACCCGCAGACCCCCCTGCCAAACCTCTCCTCCTCACAGTCCCAGCAGTACTTTCTGATGGACCCCTACGGGACAGTTAACGAGCACGCCCACACTCACGCACGCCACGGCCGCACCCACCACCACTCTGCACTCAAAACCTCTTGGAGCAACAGCGATGTGAAGTATTCAGCTTCCTCTGCATGTGTGCCAGGTAGTGGTAACAGCAATAAGAGCGATGGCTGTGTCGGTGGAGGAGGCGGCCCCTTGCTGCCGCTGGGTCTTGTGGACGGGCCTATTGAGAAGAAAGGGGCATGGTCGTCAAGCCTAACGGTGAGCAGGGCCCGAGAGGTCTACACCAACAACAGCAGCCACAAGCAGCTACGAGCCAGCGCAGGACCCGGTAACCTAAACCTAGATAGAGCTCTAGTCAAATCTAAGGCCAGTCAGCAGCAGGACCCTTCTTGCCAGTTCTTACAGGTAAATTCTTTACTGGTTCCAGCCAAAGTAGTCCAGTCACTCCCCCTCCCCCCCCTGTTGCCTCTTCTTCTCCACTTATTACTTTTCTGAACAATGTTACCTCTAAGTCAGTGGGCTCCAGTCTCACTGCCAAAATCCAGCCAGCCTTTCTTATGCTTGACGATTCAGGATTTTCATTCTACAGTCATGTATGATAATAATAATATTAATAAGTAGAGAGATTCTGGACAGAATTTGCAATGAAAACAAAAATATGAACATTTCATGTTTACAGGATGTGGAAGCATCCAGATATCAGATGTAAAGCTCCTGTTGCACCTTGACAAGTCAGACCAGCCTGTTCCTGATGTACAGAAAATCTGTCAAAAAAGCAGGTATATGTTGGAGAAGTTATGGGAAGCTGCATGGCTGGATGACGTCGGTATATGGCATGTACGCCAGCGTCCGCCATCCATGGTCCATCAGTTCCAGGTCAGTTATCTGACATCCGTTCAGTATCAGTTCCTCAT